GAGAGCTTCTCTTCTGTCAACCATGGCATGAACAGGAGCTCCAACACCTACCCCAGGTGCATCTTGAGGGACTCAGGAAGAGCTGGGGCGCTGGGGGTGATCAGCTGACAGAGGAGGCATCCCTGGATTTGGGCTGGGTGTTGGCAGTGGCCTCCTTGCCCAAACCAACCTCATAGAGGGGTTGGTAGCGGAGGGCTGGGGACGGCGAGGGCTGACACCTTGAAGTTTGACACACTTTTGTAGTTCTTCAGTACAACTTTGGGTTGAGGAAGTGTCACAAGACCCTGAACAATGTCTACTCAGCCAGGAGTTTGGAGGTGTCTTGGGCTCCAAAGCTGATTTGGGAATTTGGGAAAAACCCTCAAAGTATTTTAGGGGATAAGAAAGAATTATGGGGGTTTTACTTTGTTCAGAAAGGAGAATTTATGGAAGTATAGCTCCCAGTCTGCAATCTACACCCGAAAACTTCCAACCTCCCATAGGAAATATAAAATACAATGCCTCTGAGGCATGTTCTTCCTGCCCTTCTACCACAGGGTTACACCTCCATTTCAGCCTGCCTTCCTCCCTAGCCCTTTCACCTCTTTCTACTCAGAGAAGATCTGGCAGTATGTCTGTGCCAGCTTCTTCCCATTCTTGCCAGGATCAGTACCTTCCACCCTTCTGAACTCCACCAGCCTACCTCATCTCTGTCCTCTTTGGCCTCTTCTTGAGAAAATCAACAATAATAAAAGGAAAATGGGTAAGGAAATAACAACCTGTCCCAATGTCTGTATCTGCAATGCACTCTATGGGTCAGAGAGGCATTCAGGTTCCCAGAGAACAGGTGGCTTCCTCCCCTAGGCCAGCTCCCTTCCCTCATCCCCATCTCCTAGCAACTACATGCAAATTACAAGCTTGGTGCCCACAGTAAGGGTGATTATCGCCATTACCTCTGTTGAGTGACCACCAGAGGGAGATAGAGAGCAAAGCCTGCCGCCTAAAACAGCACCAAGCACCACCCAGCCTCCTGTTTTCAGTAAGTCATTTTAAATTCACCTAAAGAGTTCTTACAAATTAGTCTAAATTAAATCTCTTCCAGCACAATTTAAATTATATCCCAGATTCCTCTGATTGTAAACCAGGACTCTGAGGAAAAGGAGCCTCTGGAAGAGGCCTGATCCGTAAGACTATGAGGCAGGGGGACTGGGAAAATAACAAAAATTACAAAGCATCCAGATTGGGGGGGGG